CCATGGTTGCGCCCGTTTCTATATCGGCTGGGGACGAGCATGAGCAGCGATTGGTGGCACAAATGATGGCGACGGACATTGACGAGGGGCCCAACGCCGTAGTGACCTACTCAATATACCATGTCTCCAATAATGGTCTGCAAAAGTTCCATATCAACGAACAGACCGGCGAGATTCACACTCAGGGACGTCTGCTTGCTGGAGAGCAATACAGCATTACGGTGCAGGCGACAGACATTGGAGGTTTATCATCGCAGGCAATCGTGGAGGTAACTGTAACGCCGGGGCCCAACACGAAGCCGCCGCGGTTTACTAACGCTCTCTACGAGGTGCAGGTGAGTGAGGGTGCCGAAATCAACTCTACGGTCACAGTGGTGCATGCAGACGATCCGGAAAACGATCCCGTTGTCTACTCGATTATGTCTGGCAATGATCTGCGGCAGTTTTCTGTCGGTCAACAGAGCGGAATTATCATGGTCATACGCAAGCTGGATCGCGAGAGCTTGACGCGCTATCAGCTTATTGTGAAGGCGGAGGACAATGGCGGGCTGTCCAGTAGTGCCACAGTCAACATTAAAGTGACCGACATCAATGACAAGAATCCCGAATTTGACGAGCTCACTCAGCCATATGTATTCCACGTGGACGAGGGCTTGGACAATGCCTTTGTGGGTATTGTGCACGCCACAGATGCGGACGAGGGCATCAACGCTGAGATAACCTACTCCATACCCACAGATATTCCGTTCAGCATCAACAACAAGTCGGGCGAGATACGCACCTCCGACAAGCTAGACTACGAGCGACTGAGTGAATACAAGTTTGTGGTCACAGCCAAAGACGGTGCGCCTGATGCACGGCTGGGAACAGCTAGTGTCACAGTCGTTGTTCACGATCTGCCCGACGAAGTGCCGAAATTCAACGATGCGAGCATCAATGTGCGCATTCCAGAGAACATGGAAAACTTTCCAGTGGCCACAGTACAAGCCCATGATCCCGATTCTGCTCCAGAAATCACTTATGTGCTGCGAAAGGGCGACGCCGAGCTATTTAAAGTCTCTCCCAAGACTGGAGAAGTCCGGACAACGAAGGGCTTGGACTATGAGAAGAAACAACAGCATCAGCTGGTTATCGGGACCATTGAAAATGACGGCGATGCTCTCGGTGATACGGTGCAAATTATAGTAGAGGTCGAGGATCGCAATGATGTGAGTCCCGTGTTCATCTCAGTGCCCGGTCCAGTGACTGTGAATGATGACCAGCCCATTGGCTCAGTCATAGCAACGATGCCCGCCATTGATGGCGATGGAACTCCGCCAGGGAACGTCATTCGCTATGAGCTTGTGGGGCGTGGTAAGGCACTCAAGTACTTCCAGATTGATCCAGACACGGGTGCGGTTCGCATTCGGGATGAGCTGCGCAAGGAGGAGGATACCGAATACCAAGTGGACATTCGAGCCTATGACATGGGCGATCCACAGCTCAGCTCGGTGGCCATGCTGCCAGTGTATGTCCGGCATCTCTTAGTCGACTCCAATGAAGAGAGCTTCATGGAAGGCAAGATGGACAGTGACAAAGCCCTAGTCACCAGTTCAGAGACCGTTGGACTGGCCTTTGGCGACGACAGCTACGTCATTAGTGTGCCAGAGTCAACACCCGTGAATAGCACACTGAAACTAATTCAAATCGTTAACTCGAAAAAGCCTTCCAAAGGGGCGCCTAACTTCAAGTGCGAAATTGTTCGAGGCAATGAGCTGGGCATCTTCGACCTAAGCATCGAGGATTATGGTTGCCTGATAGTGCTGGCCAAGCCATTGGACTATGAAACGAAAACAACCTACACACTCGACTTACAACTGGCTTCCCAGCGCTATTTTGTTAGTCCACGGAAGGATCGAACGACCGTCAATGTCATGGTGCAGGATGAGAACGACAATCCACCGGAGTTTATTTTCAATCGACTCCATGGCCAGAACGAAACATATTATGCTGTGGTGACACCTGAAATGGACATTGACACACCCGTTTTGCAAGTACGAGCCATCGATCGGGACTCGGGTAAATTTGGTTTATTGAGATACAAGCTCTACGATGATGAGGACCTCAGCATCGAGAGTGATCAATTGGTAAGCAAGCAGCTAGTTCGTTTCAAAGCGAATATCATAACTCTTGTATTATTTCAGCCATCCACGTACTTCAGATTGACCGAGGATACGGGCATTTTGCGTACCGCAAAACTTTTTAGTGATGCCAAGTTCCCCATGATATTTTACGTGGAGGCGAGTGATAACGAAGCCCAAGAGCAGGGCTCGCATCACACTAGAGCACGCGTTGTCATCAATCAGTTGACAGATGCGAGCCGTCTGGCCTTGGGCTTCTCAGATGCTGCTCCGAATAAGATTCGGAATCACTACACAGGATTAGAGGAGCTTTTCGAGGAGCAAACCAAAGGATTAGTCAGTGGCATTGAGCGAATCAGTAATCGCAAGTACACAACGAGCAACGGCACGGTGGTGGAGAATCCAGAGGCTACCGATGTTTGGTTTTACCTCATCGACCCAAAGTCAGAGAGGCTACTTAGCCGTAACGATAGCATTATCCAAGAGACGCTGCTGGAGCCAGCTGCGGCCACGGAGCTCAATTTGGCCGCTTCCAGCTTGGCGCACGCCAATGCCGATGGAATCCACGCTCCGATTCAGATCAGAGAGCAAGTGCACAAGGTAAGATATAAATATATAATATTATATAATAGAAAGTATATTAATATCGTTCATTAAAGATCAAAGCAGCAATTGCTATCGATGATGAGGTGTTCTCCTTTACGTTGATATCCATATCCATTATTATTCTGATTCTGGGCACCATTGGCATCATATACATTTGCATATCGTGGTCCAAGTGAGTAATCAACTCCGATATAAATGTGACTTCATCACTTAATTTCTGTAATCCCGTGCTAGGTATAAGAACTTCAAGCAGCGCATTCGCCATTACTCGGCGCCGAGTCCAACGCGGTACGATCCGGTAATCGTGAACTCGCAGGCTACGAATTCGAGCGATGCTGTGGCCAACCTAAAGGAGTACGAAACCCAAATGCTGGCCATGGCTGTGCCCCCTGATGGCGATGAGGACCTGCAGCTTGATTTCAGCGCAAAGAATCACGCCTTCTCCCTAGACAATGTTAGCTACATAACGCATAAGCCGAACGGTGCCGGGGATATGCAATCGAGCAACACTCACCTGGACTCGTCCACGGGCACAATGTCGACAATCCGCCACAACAATCTCAATAACATGAACAACAACAACAACAACTTAACATTGAACAATCGACAGAATACATTTAATCGGACTCTGGAAATGAACTCGCGCAACAATGCGAATCCCCTTGCCCTCGCCGGGAACAGCAACCCGGCCACCCTAACATTGGGTCGGATTAAGCACCATAATAGCAATCAATATAAGAATGATGGTTATAAGTTCGACTCCTCCAGCCGGAACAATTTGTCAAATGCCAATGCTCAAAATAATGGTTTCAGCACGCTGGGTAGGCGTGGCAACACATTTGGCGGAATGGCCTCGTTGAACGGCGGCGAGTTCATGACCAACACGCTAGGTCGGAATAACCAGCAGAATAATCGTATATATGCTGGCGAACTGCCCATTGCCAATCCGTTATTTCAAAGGTAAATTCTAATCAGATTTCAAATAAATGGTCATTCATTTATGATTTGATAACTTTCAGATCTAACGCAGATGTCAGTCAAAATCATCTGAGTTTTACCAATGAAAACGTTAGCTTTGGTAAGCGCGACTACGGCCAAATGAGTTTCTCATATCTGAACGACTTGGATCGGTCTGAGGTGGAGACAACAACGGAGCTATGAATAGTAAACTAACTGAAATTTAGTATGAAATTGGGTGTATTTATTAATGTATATAAGTATGAAGAAGTACATATGTCATCGCCAAGATAGATAAATGACATTTAGATAGTTGTAAATTCGAGCAATGTCTTAGATAATTTAACTGAATGAGCTGTTGCCATTATACTGAAAATGTTAGCCCAACAAAATGTAAATATTGTTTAAAATATTCAACATGAAACTGATAAAATTTAACTAATTTTGTACATAAGCAGTCAGCAACTGCAGTCATTAGTTTTTGCCTACACGTAATATTAAGAAAGGGTTTATAATATATATAAAAATATATATAATATACAATTTTAGATGCAAAATTATATGTTAGACTTTATAAAAAACAAGAAGTAATAATAATAGTAAAAAAATACATTTGTATTTATGCATTTAGATAAAAAAAACTTTTACAATAAAAAAATTCTTTATTTTTGTAACTTACGGCAAAAATAGCTATTTAAGCAAAGCTGTTAACCAGTTTTTTATTTACCAAACTATTTTATTTGCAATTAAACTGAACGATTGTTGTTTGGTTTGCCTTTTTGATTTTTGAAATGCATGTAGAGATTTATATCATAAATAATACAATGCGTTTTTCACGACAACATTGTTAAACTATGATCGAGGCGGGATTTTAATACGAGCTTTAATCCTTGTACATTTTTTTTCTTAATTTTTTTCCCTAATTCTCTTACGTGGATTCCTTAGTTCAGTCGTATTGCTCGACTGGCATATTCGTTAATACCAATTTTTTAGCTTACGATATTCTACGGAATCAACATACTGCCATAAATATTAATCATGTTCATTATTATGATTACTATTTATATTAATTTGTGTTAAAATTAGTATTTTAATTCTAGCCTTCAATAGGATGCCAATATCTGGTTTACTTATCATTGCGGCCTTAAGTATTTGCACTGACCGGAGAACACCTAGACTAGACATGGGTTCTCTGGTCAGTGGTATTTGAAAACTCGTTATTTTACCTGGTACAAGTATAGTATGCTTGGGATTTAGTATGAAATATGAAGTACAAAACTATGCATTTTTCTCTTCGCGCAGCTTGGTCACACAGTTAAACAATTTTCGCAATCGATAAGCTAACTATTTTCGTTTCTGTTGACCGGCGATATGGCAAAGTTGGATGAGCGTATTGGATTTATTGGAGGCGGAAATATGGCCTTTGCTATTGGTTCTGGGCTGATTGCTGGAGGAATTGTTAAGGCCAGCCAAGTTATGGTGTCCGGACCGCATCTTGAAAATCTGTCTCGCTGGCGTGATTTAGGCGCAGTGACAACTGATGAGAACTATGATGTGATGGAGCACACAGATATTATTTTCATTTGTGTTAAGCCTCACATGCTAGCCCCGTGTGCAGCACAGCTCAAATACAAATACGTTCCATCAGCAAAGGACGCTAGCAAATTGTTAGTCTCGGTTCTAGCGGGCACAACATTAAACGCCCTCGAAGAGAAATTCGCATTTATTGAAACATCGGCACTTAAGATTATACGAACAATGCCTAACACTTCTATGCAAGTGGGAGAGGGATGCACTGTATACGCAGGCAACTCACATTGCTCGCACCAAGATCTAGAAAAGGTCCATTTGATGCTTAATTCTTTGGGTCTTGCTCAGCAAGTGCCAGAGACTATGATCGATGCCGTTACAGGGGTCACAGGCTGCGGACCAGCATTTGTTTATACCATTATAGAGGCTTTTGCCGATGGTGGAGTAAAGCAAGGCGTACCGCGCCAGATGGCATTGCAATTCGCCGCCCAGACATTGCTGGGCGCTGCCAAGACTGTGCTGCTGACTGGAAAGCATCCAGCCGTTCTCCGCGACGAGGTCTGTTCACCTGGCGGTTCGACTATTGTGGGTGTGCACGAACTCGAAAAGGGCAATCTAAGGTGAGCAAACCCCGTACAGGATATTGAGGAAAACATTACAGACTGCCTTTTTACTTTTCAGAGCCACAATTATTAATGCTGTGGAAAAGGCATCATTGCGGTCAGCGGAGTTGGGAAAAAAGTAAAGTGACCCCTTTGGAATGTTTGTTCCTTCCTTGTTATAGCTCTCTAGGCATATATATAGGACAAATAGTTCTATGTAAATATATTAAAGTCGGTGATACAATCAACATTTAAAATTTTATTTATTCACGGTCCTTTTTGCTTACATACTCTACACACTTCGAGGGATCGGTTGGGAAGTATTCCTGACATTTTGTCATCAATCGCTTTAGGCCCTGAATATATTTGCGTTGTGTTTCGTCGTTCATAACATGTGCGACGTTTTTTGAGAAAATCTTCTCACGACCCGTTCGGGCGTGAATGCCCACCATGGTGACACCAATGGGCCATGGGGCATTGCCAATAGCCATTTCCAAGTATGCATCGCTTGCCGATATGTAATTGCGGTTGAGTAAATGCTTGCAGATGTCGCGCAAGCTGTCGAGGATGTCCTCAGGTAAGGTGTGATGCTTGAGTTTTCGAAACAGCGGCTTTACGTACTCTTTCGTCTGCGTGTAAATGACCCGAGTCATTTTGACCTTCGTTGACATTTTCTCATGCTTTGTGTAGTTGGCGATCTGTGCATTCCACAGCTTTAGAAGAAAGGTTAAGAGCGTTATGATGACGTCCATGTCATAGTCTTTGTTTTTGCCCATTTTTAGAGCCATCGTCTGTATACTCTCCCAGGTTATCGATTCATCCAACTCTGCGAAGTCTGACTTCTTATCTTCCTTGGCCGTGGGTGTGTTTGCAAACATTTCCTGTAAATATGCTGCATCCACTTGCTCCATAGCTTCTTGAAAATCGTTGCGGAAACCACGGTTAGCTTCAGGCTGTGAGATTTCGCAAATTCTCAGCCTATCGAACGCCTCTGGCTCCGTCTCGCCGAACAATAAGATAGGCTCTCCGCGCTCCCGCAGTCGCCGTATAACTTCCATGCGAGGTAAAATATTCTGGCCATCAGCAACAAAGCTATAAGCACCCTCGGTCCTGGGCTCTGCAATTTGCTCCTGTTTCTTGTATCCCACTTTTTGTAGTACTTCCTCGGTGTCTTTAGCGCTTAGGTCGCCCCGTCGAAAAAACTTTTTCTTGTCGTCCACTAATTGTTTTTCTTCTAATAACTTGCGTTTTCGAGCTATTTCTGCTTTTAATATATCCATTTTGTATTTATTTACATCAAAAGATTTCTATAAACAATAGCCATCAAATAGTAGCACTGAATGTGACCGACTTAGATGAGAGATCTAGTATACAAGTATTAGAGTGACCATAGGTTGAAAGCTAGCATTTAAAATATACTAGAAATAGCAAGTTATGCATCCCTGGCTACCATATGATATCAAAATTGTGACAAAGTTTAGAAAGACATTTGGTTCGAGAGTACGCAGTTTTCTGCGATAATACTGTTATTTTGCATCAATAATATACATCAAGATGCCAAAGAAAATGGGAATGAATTCAAAAGCAGTAGAGGCGCGTGAGCGTAAGGATGCTACCAAGAAAGCTGCCAACGAACGCAAGGCCAAGGAAGCAGAAGATCGTCTGTGGCAAGACGATGACAAAAATCTGGCTAAAAAGCAACAACGACGTGAAGAAGAAGAGAGGAAACGAGCTGAGGCTGCCCGTCGTAAAGCAGAAGCAAAGGCCCTGTTGGATCAGGAACTTAGCTCAATTAAAACCCACGGTAAACAGCCATTGGCAAAAATAAATCGTCAACAAATATTAAGCGAGATGGAGAAAAAACAACGTGTAATGGATGCAATCAATGAAGCTAATAAACCTGCAGCCGCTCGTGTGGTAGTTCAACCCCACATCATTGAGGAAAATCTAAATAGATCTTTGGCCGATACCGACATAGCTACAAATGTTGACGAAGCATTGGCAGTGCTAAGGTAAATGCATATAGTAAATAATTATATTTGTTAAAATAATAAGTTATCCTTAATTTTAGTGTCAAAGAAGAAGAAGACAAACATCCAGAGAAGCGAATGCGAGCAGCTTATAAGACATTCGAAGCTGCTAATATGCCTCGCATCAAGGCTGATAACCCCTCATTGCGTATGTCTCAATGGAAGCAAATTTTGATGAAGGAGTGGAACAAGTCGCCGGACAATCCATTCAATCAAGCATCATAAAATCGCGCATCTCGTTCCCTAATTTCTGAATTTATCGCACTACATTGTTCAATTGTCGATTTGCCAAGCAGAAAGATCCCATCAATTGAAGTAATCAAATGAAAGCTGTAAAATTATTATTTAGTTTGTGATTATAATTTTAGAATTTTAAATTAAAATTTATATTATTAGAATGAAGAATAAATGATCAAGCTTTATTTATTATTAGACCCTACCTTTTTATTTTAATTGTCAAGCAACATGTAAACAACGTTTCCACTGCAGAAATCATAACTACGCAGGCTTTTATTGCCGAATTACCTACAGGTCTGTTGTGCAACAAAACGACCAAAGTTAAAAAAAGATTTGATGATACCTATGTTTGCATTACCTTCATTTAGGTGTAGACATAATTGACGATTGCTTTTTTTTCCCCCATTAAATTGTTTATGTGTTGTTACTCTGATCTAGTTCCGGTTATGTAGCTTTGACTGGCTTTGAATAAGATATAATTGTATTATTAAATTTCCGCTTTCACTTATAGGCATACATATTTAAAGGATATACAAAATTATGGTGTTTCATCATATATAGTTCACATAAGGTTTCTTTTTAAAAATATTGCTATTCGCATTTTTGCTTTAACTTAATTTTACACGAATTTTATATAGACTTTTTATTTTAAATTTTAAAAGGGTAATTTATTTTTATTTCTAAGATTTTACTCTTCACTGTTGACTGCTGCTGCCCATGCCTAAGGTCCATCTGTTACGTTAACAGCAACAGAAACAGTCGTAACAGCTTTCTGTTAGCTGAGCTGCTGGCGCATAGCTCATTGAGCCATTCATTTGGCTGTGCTTTCTTTTTTAATAAAATTTCTTTAGACGCATCGCTGCTTCATTCTTCATTCAGTGCGGGACCGTTAACAGTAGCAGACGCGTCGTTCAACGCAGAGACAGTGTATATGTACGTGCAAGAGAAATGAAAACTTGAAACCAATACGATATTGAAATTTGCTCGGCGTACGAGTGTGTCGGGCTCAACTAAAAAAAAAAAGAGAAGTAAATAAACTGTCAGGCGGTCGATACGAAAGAAAGAAAGACGTGGTAGGAAAATTAAATTGAATTTTGTATGCCATCGCCATCGCCATCGGAAATTGCAAACGGTAATTTTGCCCTCTCGCTCTGCAGTGTATTTAAGCGTTCGTACCGCGAGAGGACTTAATTCGAATTATGAAAGCTCAAAGCAAAGGATTGATTGCAGCTATTTATGAAATTTGAAATCGAAACTAAAAACGTTGAGTGAAATTACCCATTTTCAATAATATTGGTCACGAATAAAAAAAAGTCTTCACAGTTTTATCTAATTAATATTCCGTATACCACTCCCAAAACGCATTTTCTGTAAGAATGCCAAAATTAGACGCAAATTACTCAAGTCTCACTTCAAGCTCACTTCGCGGCCTATTTTAAAAGCTTCTGTCATTAGTCTTTCGTTACATTCTGTGCCCATTAAATTGTTGATTCTTTTTGTTGTCTGTAGCTAAAGTAGAACTCTTTAATCTAGAGCTCTTATATCTTTATTTACTTTTTTTTTGTTGCAATTGTTGCTTGACCCTAATACATATGTATGTCTCTCCATTTGCTTTTTTTCTCAACTATTCATGTTGCACTGCCCTAATGGGCACATAAATACTATATAGAAATGTGTAACGATTTCTAAAATTACATAAATATACATAAGCACATATTTGTATTCGATCTAGCGTTTCCCTAAATCATGTGCACAAACTCACTAATCATTGCGTGATTTGTATTTCTTCGGTTATACAACAAAAACTGATGCATAATTTTACACGCGAAAGATATTACACAGATAGCGCAGAGAGGAACATGCAGAGCTTAGTATTCTAAAAGTAAACAAAGTGGGTTATTAGATCACAGGGTGGGCAGCCGAACAGCAATTGAGGCAAGACATGGCTTCACAGAGACCGGTGCATCGATGCATTTATATCAATGCTGCTGCTCTCTGCGAGCCAACATACGTTTTTCAGTCTTGTGCTATAAAGTTAAGTGACCATAAACAGATACGCAAGTATTTAGCAATCTTTAGATGGTTCTTCATTGAGATCTGGGAAATAGGAAGTCTTAGTCTTCCTAATACTAAATGGACTATGAAAATCATCTATATTTGATTTATGTTTAGAGTTGTTACAGGGAGAGATAGATACACAGTGAGTGTGAGTAAGAGAGAGAGAGAGAGAGAGAGAGAGAGAGAGAGAGAGAGAGAGAGAGAGAGAGAAAGAGAGAGAGAGAGGGCGAGTGAGAGTCTGAGCAAATCTTGGCTGGGGCATTCATATTACTTTTTGTATGTATATTTAGCATTTGTCCACTGTTTTAGCAATTAGACTCTTTCCCTCGATATCGAAGCATTTAATGTGACAGCTTTGATTGACCACTTACTTACTCCCAATGAATAATTTCTTTGAGACTAACCATTTGTGAACACCAACACGAACTTCAATGCTTTTACGCAAGCTAACGACAATTTCACCATTTCTTTTGAATTGCTCCGTACTTTTTTTTTTACCAATCTATGAATAAAAACATAACTTTATATACGTTTTAGTCAGACATCTTTTGCGCAACATTATTTACAGTCAGATGGGTGCATTTCTGTCGCTGACTCACAAGATTCGAATTTTGATTTCTTGCTACTTATGGATAGTAAGATCTTAAGCTCTTGACTGTAACAGTTACCCAAGTCAGCAAATTTATAAAATTCCAGCAAACGAACTGAAACCTGCTGTTGAACTACCACAGCGACAAACCATAAACAATCATACATACATATGTACATACCCATAAACCCACAGTTGTATATTTGTAAAAGTAATGTATGAGTATGATTCGGATGTATGTATGTAAATTTGAGTGACCGAAGCCGATTACGCACCTTAAAAAGTGAAAATTTTTGGCATTGTATTATTTTGCTTTCTGTTTCCATGCGATCTGCTCATTTCGCACAGAAAATGACGAATGCTTCACAGACGATACGGACTTTGGTTAATTTAATGAGATTCGTGGAGTTGAGTCATCATCGAAAACTATTTTTTAGCAGTCGAATCAGTTCATCAAATTTAATAATATTTATAACAGCTTCAATATTCAAATAATTCAGTCTGAAAGTGTGTTGCCAATAGCTGGTTTGCCATTCGACTGGAATTCGAATGTTTACCAGCTAAACAATGGACAAACACTGAGACACGCTCAGCCAGGCCAGGCCATGCCCAGCTGACTGTCCACATTCCATTCTCGAATGCGAAGAAGAAGTCACTGCGGAGGCAGGCCGTCGGTACTTGGTCTTTAACGAGGTCAACTTTTTAATGGTTAGACGCTGCACGGCTGGCTACGTGGGGTTTGTTTTGGTTGGGATTTAGCCAGGTAGCGTAAATTAATATAAAATAAATGTGCTGCCGATAAGAGACCGTTGTACAGAAGAACAGAATAAGTTTCACTGATTTTCATTACATTTTTACGGGCCTTTCCGCTCTGACTCTGGCTCTCGCACTGGCTTTGGCTTTGGCTCTGTCTTATGGCTCTTGCCACTTAGTTTTGGCTTCTCTATATAAAAATTTGTTAGTTTTTTTCTCTTTTGTTAAATTTGTGGTTAAAGTTGAGCATAAAGCCGTCTGCGCGTGTGCGCGGCGTCAGAAGTTGAGCGAGAAATTTTTGACTGTCAAAAGTGAAAGTTGCAGCTGCAGCCAATGCCGTTCGTTGAAAGAAATGTAGAAAAGCGGTAGCCGTGGCCCCGCCTGATGAATCAACTTACCAGCGCCAGTTTAAAGTTGAGGCTTGCGAAGCGCCTTCATTTGCTTGTAAGCTCTGTTTTCTTTGTTGCTCAACAATCATTTAAGACTCGACATTTTCGTTATTATGTTTTGCGTTTCATATTTTGAAGCGGCAATATTATATTCAAGCACTCATTATCCTCATTATACGATGTACTTTATAACAAATTAGGTTTCGTTGTCTCGCACATCTGTCTGGGTGCGTGGGAAACACAGAAAGCATCATTGCTGCCTAAGCAGCTCCAAATGCATTTCAAATGCATCGCTATAATTTAATATTAGAAATAACATATTTTCGGCAATACTAAATGCCGAAAAGTGGGTCAATTGTTCAGAGAGTTCAGCGAACTCTTGACCATATGCCTTCATGAGCAGCCGTAGAGAGCGAACAATGCCAAGGCAAGCCATAATTCATTTCAATATTTAAATTTAATTAAATTAGCACTTTCTACACGTTTTCCCCTAAAACGGCTATGGCTACAGCTATGGCTGGCTAGCCGTAAAATTTGATTTGGCCGATGGTTCATATTGAATAATAATTTTAAGCAATTAGCACAGTGACCCAAATGCATATATTATTATAAAAAACAAAACCAAACTGGCTGTCCAAAGTGTTGGCAGGTGAAGTCGAATCGAAAGGAATGTACATTCTTAGTGACAATATAGCATAATCAAACACATTTACTTACTGGAGTACATCAAATAGTTAAACACGAGTTCGTGTCTTAAGTCTTTCGTTTGCCACCCTAAAGCTGGCTGTTGGCCGGCGAGCAAGGAATGCTTTATTGACAGGTTCTTCGAGTTTTAGCATAAAATGAGTTGAATGCGTTGGCTTCATTTCGTGCCCCATTGAAATCAATATATCCTGTAGCTTCCAAAATATGCAAAAGGGTATGATGGAGCAGCATAAGCAATATAATGCAAAATATCTAATGAGTTTAAGAACAGAATCGAAATGCAAATTTTGTAAGATCAGTGTATAGCAGTGTCAGATTTGTATACATATGTATGTTCATGGGGTATTTCTCAGTTGACTATTTCTTAGTATCTAAAAATTTCCTGTTATTTTTTAGCATGCTGATAGAATCAACTGTCAGACGGTTGTCGTCGATGTAGTTATCGATGGTGCGTAAACCAGTTTACCTAAAATATGACCCATTTACCCAGTTAACAAGTGTTCTGATCAGTAATATGGAGCCATACGCATAGCAATGCAAATACCTTCTGCTTAGGCATTTGAATTTTGATTGCAAAACGAGCTGAGTAAAACGCAATTACTCGAAGACATGGTCTTTGAGAATAATTGACTATTCGCTTGACAATTTAAATGAAAGTTGATTGGTATCTCCACGCACCACTTGCACTCGCTGAAAGCAGCAATAAAACTCGTCGCTGCCTAATGGACATGCAGAGCGGTTGTGGTAATGCATTGGCATTGCCAATTGTTTTGCCACAATTGTTCGAGAGTGAATCTCGAGCAAACCGATGCCACAGCCACTGACTGACTGCTGCGTTGCGAATGAGGAATTGAACTTTTATAACGTGGTTGGCTTATCACAAAACTTTTAATGTATATACTAATATAATACATAGACATATACAATATATATATTTTTAAATAAGTTAGAAAAAGTGTTTTTTACAATATTCGCAAACTTGTTAACAATAAAATTATATAGACAAAACGATTTGTAATGCAAAATATGAATGTTTCCATGATCAGATGTTATCATTTAGTTATGGCGAAGAGAAACACATTCATCTATGCATCTCATTTAAATAATAATGTGAGAAGAAAGCGGTCTTCGGAGAAAGAAAATAATAATCAGAATATACTTTACGTTGATCAAAGCATGTTGTTAATCAAAGCTCTGACGTGTAGTAATAATATTAAAAATGGCTTTCCTACTTTTAAATCACACCGTAGAGAAACCGCCGGTATTAAAAGACTTACATACATGACATTAGTGTAACATTTGCGCAATTTGAGCATACCCTTTCCTGCCGCTGATATGGGTGCAGAGTATAATAACGTGTATAAACTAGCTAAACAGCGTCTATTTGAGAAATTTTCACTTTTTCTTTTATTTGCCGATTGTTTTTGTTTTCATAAAAAGCAAAAAGCAAGCATGACAGTCGCTCCGCAAGATTGGAAGTGCCATTACCAAATTTGGTGAGCTCCAGTTGAATGGAAGACTGTAACATATGGGGTGGCATCATCAGTAACTGTTTAGCCAAGCGAGAGTTTTTGTTGATTCTAGTTTGAAACAGGTCCATTGCTGCTAGAAATATAATGGGAAAAGTATGCGAATGAGTTATTTAACCAATGACTCTTCTTATTACTGCATTGCATTTCATTAGCATTACCATTATCATTGTCCATTGCAGTTCCCATAAACAGCAACAATATGAGAGCCAGATGGTTCGTCGCAGGGCTGCTCGTGCTATTGTGCAACGTAAGGCATGGCGCGGCTAATGGATCTGAGCACATATCTTCCGCCCTGTTGCCCGTGGAGGCACGCAACGCTGATACATCGGCCGAGGAAGATGTTATCTCAAGCAGCTATGTTCTGCCGAATCAGATCTTTAACGACGGCAAGCCCTACTATGCTCGTCAAGATCCGATTTCGGGTCAATTGGACTTCAGTGCGAAGAAACCAGCTGGTATTGAGCCAGAGGTGAACGAAGTGCTCAACTCGAAAGAGAAAATTGTGCTTAACGGCATCTCGACTCCGAACATTCACGACTTCCTCAATCTGCCAGTAAAGTACTCGTCATCAAAGTTTGTCTACCCGCTGGTCTCCAGCTCGTATGCCAACTTAAAGTACCAAGGCAGCAATAAGAACTATATTACGAACAAGAAGCCGACCATGGTGGCCGCACCTGTCACACCCGTGCCGCCCAAGTACCACAGCGAAAACTATTACACTGTATCGACAACCAAGCTGACGGCCGTCACACCTACGGGTACTACCCCAACAGCAGCTACCTCATCGAGTCGTCCAACTAAGGTCACTGTATCCTCCACGCTTGCTACGACTACTCGCCCACCCACAACAATAACAACAACAACAGCAGCAACAACAACAACTACAACAAGACGAACAACCACAACTCGTCGGCCGATCCCGGTTTCCGTATCGACAACAAGTCAACCTATACGCTTCAGTACCACCCGGAAGAAGTTTATTCCCTCGAAGAAGCCGAATATTTACAGTACAACAAGCACCACACCAAGCGTTCCGAGCACCACTGCCAAGATAACCGAGCAACAGCTGCCAAAGCAGCAAACCAAGCCTACAAAAAGTAGCCTCGATGTGACCTTCACAACCCATCATCAAACGCCGCAGGCAGACATCTTTCCAACGGAGCCAACGACAGTCACTAAAATGTATTCAACCCCTAGTATGAGACCACTTGGTGGTGCAGCTTCTACAACGCCCCGTCCTCAAGTTCAAATTACCGATAGTACCAAAATCCCTAATCTGGATCCTGCGGACGTCTACCATACGCTGGGTCAGAAGAACACGAAGCTCGAGCAGGAACAGGCAGCTCAGCAATCGCCCAAACCACCAATGACCCTCAGCGAAATCTTCAACAATCTTGCTGAGGAAGAGACAGCAGTTGCCAACAATTACCAGCAGAATCAGGGTTTTGACTCCCAAGGCAATCTGATTGAGCCAATTGCACCGTCTCAGCCCTCGCCATTTTCCATGCACTCCCCGCAGCAACAGCAGCTGCAGCCACGGCCAACAGCGCTTCAGAACCAGAATGTTAAGCAGGAAGTGCACTCAGGTGGCCAATTTGGCAACGAACAGAAGGTAATCTCTGGGAATCCGGAAGGCTATGCCAACCAGTATGTTTCGTACCAGGTGCAGCAGCCAAACGTTATGCAGTACCGCCCCATGCCGGGCCAGATCAACAACGTGGTCATCTCGCCGGGGCAGCAATCTGCATCCTTTGTGCTAGGAAGTCAGCAACAAGTCAGTCATCCGAGTAACTTTGGTAATGTCCAAAACGAGGGACTCTTCTCGAAGGAAACGGGTAGTGTGCAATACGGCCAGGTCATCAATGAAGACATATCCAATGGGAACCGACCACAGCCTCCCCATCAACAGCACCAGTTCCCATCGGCTCAGCAGCCAACTCCACCATATCAGCAACGACCAAGTTATCATCCAAACACTCAATATCAATCGAACGGAAACGCTCTGCCAGCTGCTCCTGAGACTCCTCCAGCTGGAGCCGGAGGTGCGCCTGGAAGCTATCAAGAGTCGCCACCAGAGGCACCCTCTCCATATCAGCAGCTGCCCCTGATAGGTTCGCCACCAGCAAAGAAACAAGCAACTAAAGTGCCTGAGGTAACTCTATCCACGGTCTTGGCCAACTCAAACACTCAGCAACAACAACAGCAGCAGCAGCAGCAACCAGCGATGCCAACGTCTTCACAAACTCAAGCCATGTCCAATAGCCAAGATTCTAAGGATCTTTTGGTCTCTACCAATATTCGATTCCCATCCAATCACGAGGATTCGCTTGAGATGCCCTCATCTATCGCAGCTCCCGGTCCACCCAGCTCCCCACATATTAATGGGCATGCACAGCCGGTCAGTCTGCAGCAGCTGCAGCATGCCAATCCCGTGGTGTTCCCAAAGATCAGCGACGAGAAAGCGGCAGACTCTAATGTTCAAATCCAACAGCACGAAGTCGTCAGCATTAATCAGCACGAACAGCAACTGGTAAATTGAACTTCTAATTACGAACAGGTGTATACTTAGATCAATTAAATCTATTTTGCAGAAATTCCCAACACAACAGCCGAGCAAGGCTGAACGGCCATCACAGGAGATGGTGCCGCCGCCTCGCTACGAAGCATTGCATAACTCTCAGGGGCATTTGACTGCGGGAATACGTCCAAGCGATCCACCTACGTCGCCCTTCTACAAGGAATTCGACCGCAAGCCTCAGCATCCCACGGGTCCACGTCCCAACGGAAACCTGCCAAACATTCTGCCACAGTTCCGACCCAATGCAAAGATCTCCAGTGGCCATCCTTCTCATATGAAACATGAGCCTGGAAATCTTCGTCTGCCTACGCACGGAATGAAGATGCCCTACAATCCATCGACTCAGCCACAGTTTTCTAATCGGCGTCAGCCGATGCATCAGCCACAATTGCAAAGTCGTTATCCCATGAACCGCATTTCGGAATATGATCAGCACGTTGGTAATCCACATGCTCCGGGCGCTGTTAACAGACGAGTCTATCGACTGCCACCTAATGGTGGCCAGAGAGTGCCACAGCTGCGGGATCGCATGTACGCACGTCGACCCACCGGTCCGTTGCGAGCGATCGACAATTATTACCCAGTTGAGCGTCACGCCCCAATTACCCCACAGCCCTTAAAGATGAATCCTGGCGATCTGGATTATGAAGAGGAAGATCTGGTTATTAATGACCCACCACAGGCACCGAGCAAGGATATCCAGAATACGAATGAATCGAAGCTGGAGGCAGTTGTTACGTTGCAAATGCTGCAGTCGCAGAAGAAACCGCTGAATGGTGACGATACTGGAGCCGGCGAAATTCAAGTAACAGCCGAAAACAATCCCCAAGAAACACTGGCGACCACAGCAATCGAGCAGAAGTTCAAATTTGAAAGTGATGCAAGTGCTAATGAAAAAAGGGACACAATGTTGCATCAAGACTCGGCAGCTGCTGGCACCGTGGAATACCAGAATACGCCCTTCTCGGTAGTCCGTGAACAGCCGCAGGAGCCCATTCTGAAGAACAAGAAGCCCCAGTCCCTTCAGCAGCAGGCGAAACTGCAGCCACTGCACAAACAGAAGTTTCCTTATCCGATAGAAAAACCAGACGCTGCATACACAGACCTGCAGCCAATGCGGCAGCCTGTGCCAGGCGTCCTAGTTGCACCACGTATCATCACAAGCTCCTTCAATACCGGAACCGAAGCACCCATCGCGATAGCATATACACCGACAGAACCAAACCCGTTCATTCGCAACGGACCGATGAAGCTGGATCAGAAACTCTTCAGCGGAAAATATGGTGTAAACGAAATGGGCCCTGAAACCCAAACCGAGGAAGTTTTGGCCAACGAATTTGACTTGCGTGGGCACAACTTTGAGAAAAACTTCATGGCGCCATTTTATCCAAGTGTGAGTTTGGGTGGCGCCAGCAGTGGAGTGAGTGAAGTGGCCAATCCTGCTCTAAGCAATTGGAAGATTGTACAATCAGCCTCAAGCGAAAAGGTTTACGAGAAAAATAATATCAATCGTGCCGATGTTGAGCCCAGTGCAGATAAAAAGGAAAAGGAACCCGAGAGCTCCACTGATGCTACGACTGAAAAGCATTCGGATTTGGACAGTTTTCAGCCCCAATTACAAGGCGGCTTCAAACCAATTTTCCCAGCTAATTACATGAAATCCGAAGGTGAACCAAAGGACGAGAATGTTGAGCTAAGCGAGAACAATAATAATAAACCCATGGCGCTGGCACTGGTCAGATCGCAGACTACAAATCCCCCGATTGTAAGTGCAGTGACGTCCATCTCGTCTGTGTCTTCTGGCAGTAGCACAACTCCTGCAACATCATCATCATCATCAACAACAACAGCTAAAGTTGACGGTGAAGCTGCTTCAGTGGCAACATCAACAAAAGCACCCGTGATCAAGAGCGAGCCCACAAAGCATAAGAAGTCAACTTTTGAAACCAGTCTCGCTGCTCTGCTTTTCGGCGACGATGAGGAGCTGGAGGATGGAGCCCGAAAATCTCCCAAGAAAGAAAACACACCAGCTAGGCCATTAAATGTAGCCCGGATGGGTCCCCGAAGTCTAGCATTTAGTTAAGTGTTTTAATGCATAATTAATTTCGTTTAGAAAAATTATAGTTTGTATTATTTATTAAAAATGTATAAAGCTTGTGAGCGAATCTTGTAAAATTGCGTAATTACAGCTGATTATTAGTCGTAAGCTCACACCATGCTACACGCTAGCCACCAATGAAGTTACACTTAAGACTTTTGCGAGTCTGATTTGAAATATTCATGATTTCTTATTGGACTCCCGAATCGTCGCTATCGAATTACAAGCATGTATTCCAATCTACATACGTACAAACCTCTTTAATACTTATATAAACCGATGCGCATAAATATTTATTATATTTTTATTTATTCATAATAATAAAAATATGAATATACATTAACAAAACAATCGAAAACACTTTTGACATTGTGAAATTATATCGTAATTATGGGTATTAATGGTTTCTAACAGATTGTCATTGCCTTTAAATATTTAATAAATCCGGAGTAAAAAAATATTTCAATATACTTTTAATTGCCTTTGGAAATATATAATCAGACTATCCTTAATTTGAACAGACAAGTTATATATCGTTAGAGAAGTTCAATTCGTTTATTATATTATAAATATTAATATAAAAATCTAGTCCATGGATTTTTCTCACTTAAAGGTTAAGAAACAAATTAGGGGGAATTCAAGTGGCAAACAATAATTTAAAATATAAGTTTTGTTTGCTTGCTTAAAAATTTTTGGCGCTTCATTTAAAAATAAAATATTATATTTTTTAATCGATAGTCCACACCTCGTACACGCTTATCTCAAAGAGCAGAGAGTAATCGATAGTGATTGCAAAATTATCCGCAATTGCTTTCGATATTGTCTGCCTTCGACACTGCTTTCGATAAAAGTGCTACCATTACTTTAAATACAAATTGCTTATATTTACGTGTTACGGCTTTTAAAAACTGGACCCACTTCTAACATTAAACAAAAAATGTGTCTAATAAGCACCGACATAAGCAGTGGTAATAAAACACACAGAGCATCATTTTGCCACTAAGTATCGATACCATTGCTTAGTAGTATAAGGTTACGCATTAGAAAAGTAACAGAGCATAACAATATAAATAAGTGACGTCGAGCACCTTATGAGCTAAAACCTATTTTCCTCTATTTTTCGTTTTTTGCACTAGTACAGCTTTGTTCTATTACAACTTTATTAAATGTAAAAATGATCATAATATAAAATCGTTAATCAATTACGCATTTAATAAATGCGTGCACCTTGTACAACATTTTTATATATGTAACATTTAAACTTGAACATTTTACTCGTTACAGACTTATATATATCTTACAGTTGATATACTCTTAATAGTTTAAGTTGGTATTAGCATATGGTAGGTCGAATTTATAAAAATGTGTTAGGGCAGTCAAACTAAAAATTGAAAAATTATGCCTTAGATTAAAGCTTACTTAAGTATGATTCCTAGCATAATGTTATCCATATTTACAAAGTAAATGAACTACACCTTCGTTAAATATCCACATATTTCATTTCTGTATCCGAGTCCCGAATCAGAACCAATTGTTCCAATCGTTCGATTCGCAACAGCATATCTTCTTTTTCCTTCTGCATTATATCAACACGACGCCGTAGCTCCTCATTATGCCGCCGCAGCTCGTGTAACTGCCGACATATTTCTGTGGATGTTGGCAACTGCATAACATTGTGGCCTTTCGCAGTATTGAACTCATTTCCAGTGCGCAGATTTGTGCGCATCGTATTTGGTGAAGATTTATTAGCAATGCCATTGTTAGTGGCGCCGACAGCAGTTCCGGCTGCTGGAGAAGGGCGTAGTTGTATAGTCTGCACAGTGCCCACTTGCCCCCGCATTGTGCTCGACGTTGCGGGGTTGTGGGTTGCCGATGGGATTATGACTTCGTTCAGCGCTTGCTGCTGATCATCAATAGAACTATTATCAACGGATCTGGGCACTGAGGGTAATTTCAACTAAACAGAAACAGGAAACAGAATAGATATTGTTAACGCATATTTGTTGCCTTGTGCACAGGTTTCAAACAAACCTGACGAGTTTGTAACTGCCGCATGTTAACCAATTTAGTACCATCAGCAAGTTGGCGCACGACTCCAGAGCTAGAAATGTAATTCCATCAATAAATACAAACAATGCACGGCTATGAACAGACTTACCTTGCTAGGGTTGCAGGTATTTTCTGAAGAGATTTTGGTTGATCGCAAAGTTTTTTGAAGTCAGTCAGCGATATAATTCTTATATTCTGTTTAAAGAGACATATATATATGTATATATTTCAATGAATTCTTGGCTGGCAACTGGCCAAATTTGTGAATAACACACCTTGTTCTTCGTAACACCACCTGCTGAACTTGCTAATGATGATGACTCCTTCTGTTTGATAACATTCATGCGTATTTTTTGTGGGGAAGAATTGAGGGTTGTTTGATTTGTACTGGGATGCTGCAAACTGATTGCGCTGTTTCTTAAACTATTGTTTATAGATCCATTTGTACTATGCTTGTTGACATTGGAGTCCCGGTTTGTTTCATGTAACAACATACGTCCGCCCTCAGAGAGCACCAGCTGTCGACCATTTCGAAGTGCGGTGTTTAACATCTTTTTCGAAGCTTCGTCATCTACAACATACATATTTAAAAAACTATGCAACAACTTGATATCAGCAATATATTACCTATTTGATTGTCCTGCATCATGTCTGCAATGCCATGCGATTTGAGCATATTTAAGGCAGAGTTTCCCAGCATGTTTGTATCTATGCAAACAAGAAAATCAATAATGTAGTTATGATAATTAAAAACAACTTACGGCCGCGCAACGTCTCTAGAACATCCATCTTATCTTCAACCGACATATCGGCGTCGTCAAGGCTTCGTATTGACTTAGACTCATCCATAATAGAGTTAACTGCTTCGCTGGTTTCTTTCTAAAAAATTAGATTAGGTATTTGCACTTATAATAACAATATTCGACATTTTAAAACGATGTTTAATGTAATTAAGTTATATCTGGAATCGTATATGTTTCAAAGATATTTAAACTTAACGTACTTTAATATTGTGTGCTCTTTGCTGCGGTAAGCCGTGGGGAACAATTAGACAATGTAATTATAAATTATTGCTCGATTCTTAAATTATTCCTGAGTAGCACTAAGCTTAAAATTGAGTCCGAATCTACTTACCTCCGTCTCTTCGTTAAATTTACGGCTGGCTTGTGACTGCCGTGCGGCTTCGAGCTCCGCTAAGATATCTGCCTGCTCTGTTAATACGGCTAGGGCGATGGGGGTCTTCCCAAACTTGGAGACTAACGTTACATCTGCTTGACTCTTTAAAAGCATGCGTACAATACTTTTGTGCTTCTTCTCCACAGCCCAGTGCAGGGGTGTCATGCGAAGCTTTGCAAAATATTAAAATCAGTTTTATAGAAAGAAGACTTATGAATTCCAAAGCTAGTGCTCACCATGTCGCGTGCGTTTACAGCACATCGTAGGGTTAGCAGAAGGTTCACAATTCGTTCGTGTCCAAAATAGCAGGCTAGATGCAGTGGAGTTCGGTCTACTTTTGTCTTCGCCTCCATGTTGATCCCGCCTTGCAACAGAATTTCACAGATCTCCAGCTGATTGTTCATCGCAGCAAAGTGAAGTGCTGACATGCCCAGCTAAAAGAAGATTACAGCTATAGTAATAATTTTATGATTGTTTTTGCATTACCCAGTCCGACACAAACGGGGCGCCATGTGCAAGGGCAGCTTTCACACCGGGAACGTCACTGTCTCGCGCACATTGCAAGAGCTGCTTCCCCAAGTCAACGACCGTTGTTGGGCCGTGCGTGCTCCCCTTCTTCAGCAGAAGCTCACCCTCGGTCCGCTACAATTACAACAAACATAAGTTAATTCTATAGTTCGGAGACACATGTATTAATACTTACAATTTCATAATTTAACAAATTGGATAGCTGCTGGTTCAGGGATTGAGACTCCATTGCCACACTGCCATCGGCGCGCAATGTGGCCACAACTTTGCTGCTCCCCGTGGCTCCAACTACGCTGTGCATTTTAGCAAGCAAGAACTTTCAGTGACACAAGTGACGCTCAAATAACATTACTATTTGTCAATATATATGGTAAGGCACAACTAATGCTAATAATTTATAATGATCATCTGTATGTACGCGAGAGTGAGAGAATACGATCACCCATTTGTTGATCTTATATCGATATGAATATCGATGTTTAAAGCGTCCTCTAATTTTAGCTCTTGTTTTCTTACTAAACATTAGCATCCACTTACTTAACATAGCGTCCGACACTATGCTAACTTGTTACTGGATTACATATCAGTAGCGAGTTATCGATAAATGTAAAAAGCAACTCTATTTAAAACATTGCAACTTGCAATGGCAGCGATTAATATGTGGGCGTTTAAGCAGAGAAACGTAACGGAAATAGTAGTTAAACTTATATTTCCAAAATCATACGTGATCAATCGAATTCAATTTCAATGAACCTAAATTGGATTCCATCATTGCATTTAATAAAGGAGATACAGAAGCTGCACAAAATACAAAAACATATGTATAAGAAAAGGCAACAACTAATTACTATTTGCTAATACATTTTTAATATATATTAATTGCTTGGAGTACCTTATATATATATTGAATTTTCCTGTACAAATTTTGCGGTTACTATAATATCTTTGATTGTATATAAATAATAATGTATAAAACGATAACTAAGCATAAGAAATATCGGTCTCTGCTTCGGCAAGCGTGATATTTGAATTACGGGTCGGTTGCTTCTGTTTTGGTGGCACATTCGCCACGGCAGCATTGCCATTGGAATCATTTGGTTTTCGAAACCATCTGCGGAATGGAAGGCGGTGGAGCAACTTAATTGATTTTTCTAAAATACCTTTTCCAGTTCTACTGCTGGTACTAGGAATATCATCGTTCCGTTCTGCTCTTTTGGATCGTAGGTCAACACGATGACTATTTGATTGGTTGGGAGAGTGGGTCGCATCACATTCGAGTAGGTCACAATATTCGTTGACCTGTTGATCATCCTTGAACTCAACCCTTTTAATCTCTGATACATTCAACGTTTGGCCACAAAATTGCCGCTCTAGGGAGAGCGAATTAAGAAAGATGTACTTACGGAGGGTGGACGCAAAACTAAAGTCGTACCATTTGTTTTGCGATCTGCAGTAGATTCGTATCGCATTTTTTACTGTGTGCAAACCGAATTTGGCGCCATCTCGCATATTCACAACGGTGCAGCAGTCCAAAAGCAGGCGACCCTTATAGACGA